CTTAGGCTTCGATTTTGTCCCCTGTAAAATGGTGATAATACCTTTAGCCTCTTAGCACTGTTTATGGATGCTATGAGTTAAATGATATATGTATAAAACACTTGCACCATGTCTGATACGACATAATAAGTACCTCATGCATGTGATCATTACTAGTCATGCAACCATTCCTTTTCTTCTCATGCTCCATCTTCAGAGAAATCAGTATGGAGGGTCCCAGAAAGCCCTCTTAGAAAAGGTACATCTCTCCTGAACATTCCTTTCATGGGAACAGCTGACATTGGGCTTCTAGAGTGTTTGTCTGAAATCCTGATGACAATGAGAATAATTGTCTGGGCTGAAGAGACTCTCAAAGCTGGGGTTAGGACGTACAAAATTAGGAGAAAAAAAACACCACACCATGATGATCCTGATATGGATCCAAAAAATGATTGTACTCAAGGTTTACGCCCTCTACTCAGCAACTACTATTACTGTGATTGCCATCACCCAGCAAGGGTGAGAACTTGTGGTCTTCACTGAGCATTTGCTACAGGTGAATTCAAGATATCTTGAAAACATTTCATAAAATCATATGAACTCATGATTTGAAGAAATTTCAGCTAGGCTTCTGTTTTAAATATCTTCCCAGACATCCTTTATATTCTTTGTAAATGCCATTAGCAACCAAGAATACATCAGCCCATCCAGTATTTTTACCAGCAAGTTGAATGTAGATGACAATGCATGCTAACCGTGTTTTCAGAGGCTACAATACAAACTCAGGAGGGCAAGTCAGATTTTTAGATGAAAGAATGAGGATCCAAGAAGGAGATAAATTGGAATTATGAGCCTAATCTAATAAGACAGCATTTAACAAGACTAAATACAATCGTCTGGTCTAAGATCAGAAACTTCAACTGCCCTAGAGGATAATGAGAGAACTTTTCATTTTCATATCTACCTAATGATCATCTATTAATTTTTACCTGGTATCATTCCAAAAAGGAATTAAATTAGCTTAAAAAGAAACAATAGATCAGCAATTCTCTAAGCATAATTCCAAGCCAGCAGTATCCATATCATCTGGAAACTTGTTAAAAACATGCCATCTTGAGCCTCACCTCAGACCTCCAGAGTCAGGGATCAGGTTCAACAATCTGTTTTAACAAGCTTTCTTGGGAGTCCTGATACAACAGTAAAGTTTGCAAGCCACTGCAATAAAGTATAAGATACTTTTAAATGGAAATTTCATAACATTCAGAAGTTGAGATGATATTAAACCTTAAGGTAACATAGAGAATGTATGCTTCAAATTTGACTTAGAGATCCAAACAGCCAATGCAAAGGGGGAAAAAAAGCAGCTTATATACTATACTGGGCCTGTAAAACTCATACAACCAAACTTTGTGCTGAAATTTGAGGAAAGAAGTGAATACAGCTATTTCACTCTTGAACATATACCCAAAGGTATATAAGTCAGTGTACCATATAGACACCTGCACACTCATGTTTATTGAAGCACTTTTCACAACAGCCAAACCATGGCATCATTCCAGGTGGTCATCAACAGATGAACGGATAAATAAAATGTGATATATTTACATTAGGGCATTCTATTCAGCTATAAAGAATAAAATTATGTCATTTGTAGGAAAGTGGATGGAACTGGAGATCACATTGCTAAGCAAAAATAGCAAGACTCAGAATGACAAATATTGCATGTTCTCTGTTGTATGAAGAATCTAAATTTTAAAAAGAAGGCACCAAAGTAGAAGGGGAACTATTTGGGAAGAGGAAGGAGATCAGCGGAAGAGGGAGTGGTGTAAGAGAGAATAACGGGGGGGGGGGTGTGAACACAAAGTATGGTGTATACATGTATGAAAGTAACACAATGAAACCCAGAGTTCCTTTCTTACTACTCTGCCTTCACTGTTTTAGGAGCCTATGTCTCGATAATAACCCATTATACCTAGCCTCTGACTAATAATTTAGCATGAGAGGAAAAATAAGTCTTTTATATTTATTAAAATTATACCAATCTTTGAGAAAAATAGGACTACCTAGCAGAACATTACATCAAGTACTTTCAAACACAATTTTTGCAATGATTCTAAATGTTTAAGAGCTGTAATATAAAAATTAAGTAAGAGATGTCTGAAGATTATCCCCCATGTGTGCCTGAGTCATTAGTCATTGTACCCACAAAAGTTTCCAGATAAAAATTAAATTTTCTTAGAGACCACTAGGTGCTGTAATCATGAAGGTGTATAGCTTGATATACCCCTGTATTAGACACAGACTTAACTTTAAGTCCATGGGTTTCGCCATCTGTGTGGCCTTGTGTTAATATTTCTTAACAATATAACTTTCAAGATATACCTGCTCATGAAAACAGGTGGCATTTGCCATGACCTGATGGAATCACAGAACACTTTACTGAGGATAACAGGAAACTAGACCTCTTAAAAAGTTAGTCTTAGCCTTTTTTGCTGAGATTTAAGTAGCTGGCTTTCAGCTTATAATCTCCAAGCCTCGCTCTTTCTGGATCGTGATTGACACATAATAAGAGTTTAGAATGAAGCCTTCTCCAGGGGGCTTCTGTGTTTGCAGAACTGTCGAGTAATTTCTTCAGGCATTTCTTCGTCAGGGTCTTGGGAATCATAAGTTTTCACACAAAGGGAAACACAGTCAGATAAATATGCATGGAATGAGTTGGAGAGCTTGTTTTGGGGATGTAGAAATTCCTTTTATTCTTATACACTGATGCTTTGTTTCTTTGGTTGTGTCAGAAAATGGACCATTTCATTGGAGTAAAGTTTATAGACAGCTGAAGTTTTCCCATCTCAGCCCTAAAACTATCTTAACCCCTTTTTTTTTATTCATATGTGCATACAAGGCTTGGGTCATTTCTCCTCCCTGCCCCCACCCCCTCCCTTACTACCCACTGCCCCCTCCCTCTCCCCACCCCCTCAATACCCAGCAGAAATTATTCTGCCCTTATTTCTAATTTTGTTGTAGAGAGAGTATAAGCCATAATAGGAAGGAACAAGGGTTTTTGCTGGTTGAGATAAGGATAGCTATACAGGGAGTTGACTCACATTAATTTCCTGTGCGTGTGTGTTACCTTCTAGGTTAATTCTATTTGATCTCACCTTTTCTCTAGTTCCTGGTCCCCTTTTCCTATTGGCCTCAGTTGCTTTTAAGGTATCTGCTATTAGTTTCTCTGTGTTAAGTGCAACAAATGCTAGCTAGTTTTTTAGGTGTCTTACCTATCCTCACCCCTCCCTTGTGTGCTCTCGCTTTTATCATGTGCTCAAAGTCCAATCCCCTTGTTGTGTTTGCCCTTGATCTAATGTCCACATATGAGGGAGAATATATGGTTTTTGGTCTTTTGTGCCAGGCTAACCTCACTCAGAATGATGTTCTCCAATTCCATCCATTTACCAGCGAATGATAACATTTCGTTCTTCTTCATGGGTGCATAGAATTCCATTGTGTATAGATACCACATTTTCTTGATCCATTTGTCAGTGGTGGGGCATCTTGGCTGTTTCCATAACTTGGCTATTGTGAATAGTGCCACAATAAACATGGGTGTGCAGGTGCTTTGGAGTAACCTTCCCCAACCTCTTAAACTGCTCATGTTACTGGAGAGTATTTTGGTAAATAAATGACTTAAATAATTATTAACCATCAAAGTAGGACCTTTGGAAGTCCACACATACATTTCAGAGATGTATGCATTACTCTGATTTTTTAAAGGGATTAGTACTCAAACCAGAAACACAAAATTTGAATAGTCATGACTGTCCCCTCACTCAGTTACTTGAGTATGTGTTACTTGAGTATTGTGTGTATTACTTTGGACCAGTTTCATACCAGGTACTCTGGCAGCAAAGAAATGTGAGGCATGCAGCTGCCTTCAAGAGGGGCAACTTTAAGAAATGGACCATCTGGGGCAATATGGGAAACTTGCCTGATTTGTGATCAGGAAAGCCTTGAGAAGGTGGTGAGTTCTGAGCCCATCTTTCAAGGAAGTCATCCTCTTTGCCTTCATCCATTCTGTGTGGATGACACTAATGAGCTAGACTAGAGAACACAGGTACAAGTAGATGTATACTTGACTCCAAAGAAGCCGAGGAAGAAATAGGCAAGGTGGGCTTAAAAACACTTCAAGTCGTCTTGCTTGGAAAAGAAGCTATGGGCAGACGCTAATGAGCCTTGGGTTAGACTGAGTGTTGAATGTAATTCCCAAGTGTAGTTCCATGCACTACCAATGGACTCAAGTATGGGGTTTCCATGGAGATGATTTCAATACATTTTAATAACATTCTTATTTTTAATGTATTAACAAAAAAACCCCAGTAATTTCCTTTATCCAGAGATAACTTAGATCCAGTATTCCCGTATATATCAGGCCATCCCTTTTATTTCTCTTCTCTGAGCCATCAGTCAGCTCTTGATGGCTGGTATTCAGCATTGTGGGTGCTATTTATGTATAGTGCCAGAATAAATGTGTGCCATGATTGAGGAGAGATGTTGGTTGTTTTGAGACCTTTTTAAATTATGTCTCCTTTCTCTTTCTCCTAGATTAGCTGGTGGTTATTGTGTCTGGCTGCTTTCCATGTGTCTGCTTATACAGTCTTCAGTATAGTTTTTACCCTTGATTAAGTGCTACAATGTGTAATGACCAGGCTGTCAATATGTGTTTTCAAAGTAAGAATAAACATACCGAGAGAGGACAAAAGGGCTCTCTTGAATTAAACTAGAAACTGTGACTATTTTCTCTGCCAGAAAAGCATTACTTATCTGCATAGAAATGATTGGATTTTGCTTTATTGATGACATTTAGCTAAGTGGTGTTACTTTTAAGAACACCAAGCCAGAAAGGGAGAAAAAGGAAGAAGAAAGGAAGGGAAAGAAGGGTGGAAAAGAAGGGAAGGGAAGGAATAAAAAAGACAGGCGAGTGGTTTTTTTGGATCTCATATTGGATTTCTTTCCATTCTTGCTGTTCACAGTGGTTTGAACTTCATTGACTTGATGGTACGACAAGGGAATATTGACAACCCTCCAAAGACCCCCCTGGTGCCGGGATTTGAGTGCTCTGGGATTGTTGAAGCTCTGGGAGACAGTGTGAAAGGATACGAGGTAATGTTTTCACTCTGATTGAAAGAGTAATACTTATCTGGAATCCATTGAGACCATAAAAGCCTCTGCAAAAATGTATTTGAAATAACCTAAGCCATGCATTATTCTCGGTCTTATTATTTGGTTTTATGAGGAACATTTGTAATGATAGGACTTTCCAAAAGACTCATGACTTCCTCATGTACTATCACGGTTGCTACTGGCAACAGGCTGGGGAACTGGGCAGGACAAATCTTGTCATCTTCTTTATTCATGTAACACGGCTATTAAGAGTATTTTGCTTCAGATTAAGTGCTCACAGTCCCTTGGCCATCCACAGTTCCCATTTTTCTCTGCCATCTCAGGTTCAAAACTCAATTACAAATTACATAAGTTTAGGGGAAATAGCATCTATATTTTATAATTTGGTTCTTTTAAAACTTTACTTAACTGAAACATTTAAGTGATCATTTATAAATCTCTGAGTGTTTTAGGATAGGGGAAGTAGAATTTTAGATGAAAAAATCTAAGTCAAAGAGTCATAAAACAGTGGGGTAGAATTGGCCATGGATTGATAGCTTTGGGTACAAGATTTATTATATTATTAGGACTACTTTTATATAGGTTTTAAATTCTCTGTAATGATACACTTTTTAATTTGTGAAAAGATGCATGACCTTCCTACCACTATAATTCAGATCAAATCAAATTTGCCTTATAAAAAACAAAACACTGTGAACCCATCAGCTGCATAAAATTCAGTCATCTGGAATCAAAAAGCCATGGTGAATCAAGTGCAAGTGCTCTCACTCATAATTTCTCTGCTTGAGAGGTCAAAGGGAGCTAGCATTTGGGAACCCACCACAACCAGGTCCACAGAGAAGCCATCTGTTTTTTCAGCCTGACGAACCCCACAAGAAACAATAATTACTATCCCTGGAGATGCAGAGGGGATCCTTCCATAAGATCAGAAGGACCATTAGAACCCAGGTTCAGGCATCAAAGCCTTTTTACTCTTACTAGAATCCCATGGTCTTTTCACTTGCTCCCAACTCCCAAATGCTGCAAAGCCCAACACAAAATGACGAAATGAAGACAAACCCTATCAAATTCAATGCCAAAGTGCCCTTCAAATTGAATTTGAGTCTGCTTGTCAGTCTCCATGCATCTAGGCCTCAGTGTACTCTGAAAATATCAATATGCTTCAAGTTCATTATGATGAATGTCTGGAAATCTCATCCCACTTAGAAGTCTTGGTGTCAGTGGTTTCCAATAATACAAAAGAAAAGACACTGAGAAAGAAGTAAAGGAGTTTTTACTTTTTCTCATACAACTGTACATTTTCTGGCTTCAGGTTAGCCTTTTAACCAGAGGCATATTGTCTCTTCATTACAAAAGTGCTGTATACAAAAAAATATCTCATCACTCCTCTGCTCGCCACGTTAACCCTGAGCATTGAACAAATCACCAACTATTCTGGAATACAGCGGCAAACAGGGATATTATTGAACTTGATATAGAGGGATAACAGTATACTTGATGACATATATTTTTCCTTTAAATTCGATTTATCTTCTAGTTAGCCCTGGCTTGTCTACTATCAAGCCCATCCTTCGATTTTAATCTCTCTCTCTATCTCTCTCTCTCTCTCTCTCTCTCTCTGTCACACACACACACACACACACACACACACACACACACCCCCCAATGATTTCAGCTGCACAAACAAATAAAAGAAGCCACCTATGCTTTCCAGTTGGAGTGTGATATGGGAGAAAGCCAATACAGATATTTCACATACAATGTTGGCTTATGATTTTCGATCATGTTGGAGTTGGAACTCCATGAGGGTAGAGCAGAGCTGAGTCTGGAGGTAACCTGACACTAGCATTCTGTGATGTGTGCCGTGTCACACATTGGATACGGAGGCTCAGAGAGGGGCACAGAACCTGGCTTCCACAGCCCCTGGAGGTTTTCATAGGTGGGTTGCAAGAGAGTCACAGATGTTTTGATATTGGGAGCGGGTGAGGTTGCATCCTTGAGTGTGTTTTTGTCTTGTTTTCTGGGAAGGAAACTATTGTTTTCATCAGATTCTAATTTGAGAAACCCCTCTGAAAAAATTAAGAAACACTTAAATGTATGTTTGAGCCTAAAATCTGAAATAGAATCTAACTTTCAGTGCCCTTAGTGATATTCTGGGTATATTTATTTAACCAACACTAAATGAGAACCTAGAATCTATACTGCTCTAGACATAGGGACAGAAGCCTCTGCCATCCTGAGGCTGACATTCTAATTGAGGGTAAAAGGGGATAGACAAGAAAGATGGAACATGAATGGATGAGGTAACTTCAGACAGAATAAGGCCTTCCAAAAAAAATAAAAGTGGATGATGTAATAAGATAACATGGCAAGAAAGGAGCACTTCTTCATTTGGGCCATCTTTTTTATTTTCTTGTTATGTAGCTCAGGCTGGTCTCAAACTCATGGTTCTCCTTCCTCACCCTCCTGATTACTAGGATTACAGGTGTGCACCAACATGCCTGGCTCAAATTGAGGTGTCTTGTTGAAGCAATGATATAAGTGTTGAGTTCACATATATTGTATGATTCAGCCTTCACAATGAGCCCTGTTAGAGAAGTAGGACAACACCTGTTTTGCAGACGCATTGCCTGAGACAGACAGGTTGAGCACCTTAACTTTTGTTACTTTGAAGGGGCAGAACTGTATTATGGCTCGACACACTATAGCCATTTCTTATACTGTAGCAAGTGGACTAAGGCAGGCTCCCCTGCCTGGGCAGACTGAATGTCCACCTGCACCGTGGAGGAAATGACAACAGGCAGGTGACTGTAGGGGCTTCTTGGCTCTCCCTCTACACAAATATTGGCAACAAAACAATTCATATGGTCTTGGCTGGAGTTTCTGCCAACTGGAAGAACCACTGTCACCTTCGAGTCCCTCTAAGATCAGCATTTATCTGATACCCAGCACCACTGCATGGAGAGAAAGATTCAGTGATGCTCACACCTATATATTTGGACTATCTGGAGTGTTCCCCATAGCCTGTGGGTCATTTTCCAACAACATAAATGGTCAGCGAAGCCTTCCCCTAGGAACAGCTCGTCTTAGCAATGCTGAGAAAGGTAGAACAAGGAAAAGTGAGAGAGCTCTCAACTGGAATTCTTCTGGCTCTGCCTCTGTCTGTCCCAGAGAGGAAACAAGTAAGAGGAAAATTGGGAGTTCCCTCTCCATTCAGCCTCAATTTTCCCATCCATGTATATGGCATGATAATAGTTTATTGTTCTTGAAGTTCAATCACTTCATGGGGTTCCTGTGGGAGCTCTATAAGGTCAGGTAGACAAAGGCACTTAGTCCAGATTCGGGACAGATTCTTGGTAAATGTCACATAGGATTATGAATAAGGACCGCTCCTAGCATTCCCCTGGCCTGCAGTTTCCTGGAGTTCTATTCAACGCCAGACACTTGTCTTCCCCTTTCACCCTAGAGATGCTTCCTCTGAGATTACTGGAAGCTTCTCCAGAGTTGAACTTCTGCCCCTCTTTTACCCTGTGGAAAAGAAAGACCCATTTCTCACTATGCACCAAACTTTGAGCCATGCATTAAGAAGCTATAAATCAGTGAGACTCGGCCTCTCCACTCTGAGGGCTCACCGCTTAGAGGGAGAATCAATCACATGAAAAGATGACCCAGCATAATGGGTTCATCACAGTCATGAAGGGCGTATAAGGAATCAGATGGACTTTAGCCGAAGCCTTATATTCACGCTTACAACTATGTGGTCTTGGGAATGCTTTTGGGTGCAGGAGGGACAGTACCAGGGCTTGAACTCAGGGCCTCGCATTTGCTAAGCAAGTGCTGTGCCACTTGAGCCACACCCCAGGACTTTGGCTTTTAGTTTGTTTTTTCAGATAGGGTCTCGCATTTTTGTCCACGCCAAAACATGAGCCTCCTATCTCCGTCCCCGCCCCCATGGAGCTGGGATTAGAGGTGTGTACTACCATGCCCAGTCCTTAGAAATGCTTTTTAATTGCTCTGAGCTTGTCTCCAGTCTGTAAAGTGGGAACAGTAATAAAAGCTACTGCACCAGATTGTCGAGGGGACTAAATGCAATGACACTTGCTGTGTACTTAATGCCAGTGCAAAGCAAGTATGCAATAAACTGAAACACATTAACACAAGAAGAGTGGCCGATTCTGGCTTTGTGGAAAGGGTGGTTATGCACAGGTTACTCCAGAGGCACCTGCACACCCATGTTTATTGCAGCACTATTCACAATAGCCAAGTTATGGAAACAGCCAAGATGCCCCAGCACTGACGAATGGATTAAGAAAATGTGGTATCTATACACAATGGAATTTTATGCAGCCATGAAGAAGAATGAAATGTTATCATTCGCTGGTAAATGGATGGAACTGGAGAACATCATTCTGAGTGAGGTTAGCCTGGCCCAAAAGACCAAAAATTGTATGTTCTCCCTCATATGTGGACATTAGATCAAGGGCAAACACAACAATGGGATTGGACTATGAGCACATGTTAAAAGCGAGAGCACACAAGGGAGGGGTGAGGATAAGTAAGACACCTAAAAAACTAGCTAGCATTTGTTGCCCTTAACGCAGAGAAACTAATAGCAGATACCTTAAAAGCAACAGAGGCCAATAGGAAAAGGGGACCAGGAACTAGAGAAAAGGTGAGATCAAAAAGAATTAACCTAGAAGGTAACACGAGCGCACAGGAAATCAATGTGAGTCAATGCCCTGTATAGCTATCCTTATCTCAACCAGCAAAACCCTTGTTCCTTCCTATTATTGCTTATACTCTCTCTACAACAAAATTAGAGATAAGAGCAAAATAGTTTCTGCTGGGTATTGAGGGGGGGAGAGGGAGGGGGCGGAGTGGGTGGTAAGGGAGGGGGTGGGGGCAGGGGGGAGAAATGAACCAAGCCTTGTATGCACATATGATTAATAAAAGAAAAAGGAAAAAAAAAAAAGAAAGGGTGGTCATGGGGAATGCTCCAGAGTAAAGAGGATCTCTGAGCTGAGCTTTGAAGGAAAAATCAAAGATTTGCCAAAGGAAAGCAAAGAAATGGAATGCCATCTTCAGCACTAGCAGGCACAAAGGTCCTGGGGTATGAGTGTGCATTTCCCGAGCTTTTCCTACCAATTTTCCAGGGTGGCCATGGGGGAGACACAGGAGTTCGTACTGGACAGCATGTGAGATGATCCTCCCCATCTCCATTTCTCATGCTGTCTTAACTCCCATATTCTGCTGCCTCTTTGTTATTGAAGGCCAATTTTCCTCTTGTTTCCTCTCTGGGACAGACAGCTTACACAACCAAGGTGGAGGGCTAACCTGATCCAGTAGCCAAGGAGTTCAGGTTATTTACAGGCTTGAGAGAGGAGGAGAAAAGAAGGCAGGTGTTAACTGGAGCCACAGATAACTCACAGATGAGTCACAAGCAAGGGCTTCTCCCTGTCCAGATCTCAGGGAGGACTCAGGGAAGGAGAACCTGCTTATGTTTTGTCACACATCTCAAGGACAAAGAAAGGAGATGAGAGGAGAGATAAAGTCCTCCATGCCCACCTATCAGCTTGTCACCATGATTAGTTGCTTGCCTCTCTCTCTCTCACAGCAAGCTGGCCAGACTCTTGTGTTGCTCCTCCTACTGGGGCAGGACAATTTGCTTCTGTGATTCGGGTGTCTCTCCTGAATCAGGCAAGCTCTGACAGATGCTCTGGCAGCTGGTGTCCATGTTCACTCAGAGTATTGTTGATTCTGTCCCCATCTGTCTCATCCACTTGAACTCCTCATTATCCAGGTCTGAAAAGTGCCAGGATGGACCGTTTCTTTCTCCTTTATCATTCGCTGGATAAATGTACAAGTGGGTCCTTACAGACATTGTGTTGGCCACACACTGAGGTTATGATAACCCCATTCCAAAACATGCAGAACTGGTCAGTCTGGCGAATTCCCAAGGTTCCAAGAAGCTTACCTCCAAGCTACACTGAAATCTCTTGGCTCACCAACTCTTCCCAACACATAATTATAATGGTCTTTTTTATCTTGGACCAATGTCTGAAACATCACCATCATAGCTTCATGCTTTTGGCTTATGGTTTCATTCTCTATACAAAATATCCCTTCCAAATGGATTTGCCTTCTAAGCCCTGGTAGCACTTGCCACATGAAATTTTCAAGGAACGCGAACAATCTGAAAGCATAAGTGGTACATCATTTACAGTGGTATCTCCAGTCCCTAGAAACTAAGACTAAAAAAGGGATTAAAAATATAATCCTGGAAGGGGATCATTTGATGCTATGAAAAGATGCTTGGAATCAGACAGACCTTCTGTGCAACCTTAGGACAGAGACTTCACCTTTCTTGTCTTTATTTTATTCCATGCATGTATGGGGATAAAAATCCCATGAGGATGTCATGTAGATTAAGTAACTGACATTAAATGAAGTTTACTGAGTCTGGCTCATTATTACTGTTCAATAAATTACGGCATCTCTGTTGTGATCAAATGTGAATTTAGAAATATCTTTCATCAGGAGAAATCCATTCTCTAGCCAGGCTGTAAGTCCCAGGATGCTTTGCTATGGGGACTAAAATCCCTGAGAAGCCCTAAAAGAAGGGTACTAGGTGATCAGATGAAAGTTGGCTTTACAAGAATGGAGGAAGACTCTGAATCCTTTTTCTGATTCCATTCACTAGATGTTAATTACTACGACTACTTTTATTAACGACATGACACTGCCCTGCCCTTTTGCTACCAGCTGAACTGTGCTTAGAATTTCATAGACAGAATAGGTCCTTAGCCCCTGGATTGGGGGTGAAGGGATAGGAGATGAGATAGATAGGCAGGAAATAAGTTTTATAACTCAAGTATTTTAGTTTATTTGAATTCTTACTGAAACTGTACAAAAAGTCACTTGTTTCATCAAAGAATGATGAAATTCAGAAGAATTTGGATAGAGATTACAAGTATATGAGTTAGGAAAAGCATATACTATCTGCCAGTCTGCTATCTGTGATGCTATCTGCCAGTCTGCGTCATGGACAGCTGCCAATAATTATTGTCTCTCCTTGAACCTTTGTCAGGAGCAAATCCACTAACCTGGTGTTTCTCCATACGCAGATTGGAGAACGAGTCATGGCATTTGTCAATTACAATGCCTGGGCAGAGGTGGTCTGCACACCAGTGGAGTTTGTCTACAAGATCCCAGATGACATGACCTTCCCCGAGGCGGCTGCATTCCCTGTGAACTTCGTCACAGCCTACATGATGCTCTTTGAAGTTGCTAACCTCCGGGAAGGGATGTCCGTGCTTGTGCACTCAGCTGGTGGCGGAGTGGTAAGTTGGCTAGTCATGATTCAGCTTCCTCAAGGTCATGATAGTGGAAAAGGAGTGACATGCAATTGACAATGGGATTCTTAAGTGAACTCTGAGCTCCAGGGAGAATAATCTATGACTTGGACAGTGGAGCCCTTGTAGATGATTTGCACTGGGGATAGGGTGAGCCTCAGAGATGGTTTCTCAGAGGCTTAGGAACGTCTCCAAGATGACATGTGAGAACACAGGGGTGCCAGAACTGGTTTCTGTAGAGAAGCACTCTCAGTGTTGGTATTGTGATGAAATGTGCCAGTTGTCATGAGATGCCTTATAGTCACATCTTACTAATATTCGTTGAAATGTCAAAATGGTGGGTTATTTACTTTTTCAATTAATTGCAGTGTGTCTAAGATTGTTCCTATACTAATGACATTCTTACTCCTTTCTATTCTGGTGTATTTTCTTGAGTGGGTGAAAAGTGGTCAGAGATTGTACTGGTACCCTGAAGATTACACATAAATGGAATTGCTACACATGGGTGGACTTTGTGCATAACCTTTCAGGTGTGTTTTTGCCAAGGGGGAAAGCGAAGAATTCAGAATTGCTGCTCTGGAGTTCAGGGATGGCAGACATTTCCATGGTTTGTATTCAGTGCATATTGTGTGCCCCACACATGGCAAGTACTATGTGCCCATCATAGTCCACTGGGCTTGGATAGAACTCTAGTTTTTCTGAGAGTGGGCGGTTCTATTCCCTAACTCTACAGAACAGAACACATACTGTGTTCTAGACTCTATAGATGCAGAGATCTGTAAGACAATGTCCTGACATGTCATCTAATAGGGTTTGAAAGGTTCTCTGAGTCAGTGATTCTGGGTTTTGATGACCTCTGAGATGAGTTCTTATGACTGAGTATCTCAGAGATACTTTCACCGGAGGTTTTGCTAACATTGATTTAAAAGAATTTACAACTATAACCGGGCACTGGTGGCTCACACCTGTAATTCTAGCTACTCAGGAGGCAGAGATCAGAAGGATTGCAGTTCAAAGCCAGTCTGGGCAAATAGTTCTTAATACCCTATCTCGAGACCCTATCTCCCCCATCACCAAAAACGGGGGGCTGGTGGAGTGGCTCAAGGTGTAGGCCCTGATTTCAAACCCCAGTACTGCAAAAAAAAAAAAAACCTTTTTTTAAATTTACAGCTATCACAACACTATGCAGGGTAACACACATTTCTGGTTTTCCTCTACAAGAAAACAAACTCACATCCAAAACCATAAAGGCAAAGACATGAAAATTTAGGGAAATCTTAAGAAGAATATATTGAATTGCTTCAGCAAATTTGCTGATGCAAATGAAAAAAGGTATAATAACAGCTAAATGCCTTTTAGAAAAGAGATAGATTTCAGTCCCAGCAATTTGCAGGCCATTTAGAATGCTGGCATTTATTGTCCTGGAGTGCTCAGCATAGAACACACCAGCATAGAGCATAGAGCAGTTAGAGATTTGTTTTCAAATTATGACATAAGCTTCAGTCTTTCCTGGGATGCTGAACTCAGTCCTGCCAAGGATCAATGTTTATACATTGACATCGATGATGTTTCTGTTCATTTTTAAAGTTTCTTTTTTTTCTTGCCTGGAACAAAGAGGAATGTGTCAGGGAAATGTGTCTCACATGAAAAAGAAAGACATAAAAAAGAAAACCTTGGGAAATAACAGAAATTTGTATGATGCCTATTCTGAGCTTGTAGACACTAACAACAAAAAGTTCTGAAACTGGGGAAAAGGGACAGTGAGGGGAGGAAAATGAGTTAGTGCATATCATGCAGGCTGTCGGTCCTGAAGCTTTGTAGGAAATGGACAACAGTTTTGTTCCTTAGCTTCCTAATGGTGGGTGAAAATAGGGGGATGATCATCCATGTGAGATAGTGTTCATTTGATGGAGACGAAGCCATTACTGGAGCTGGTTTTATATGTGTTATAACTAGTACTGGTGGAGACTAGAGAAATATTGCCATGTGGAGTCCCGTAAGAAATGTGTGCTGAAAAGCAATGAACATCCCCTTTGAAACAGTTATGGTAAATCCAAGTATTGCTATGAAACTTTTTCTTATACTGTGCTCGCAATGTTACCAAATAGCATTAAAGTAAAGCAAAATTTAGTGAAAGGAAACAGACTGGGGCCAGAGGATGTGGTCTGGCTTAATCTTTAACAGAGATTGAAGGTGTGACTGGACCACCCCGTCTCTTGGTGGGAAGGTCTCCTTAAGTAGCATTTCTCCCAACCAAGATTTGGTAGGTGGGGTTCAGCAGTTCAAAGTCACCATTAGAGAAAAGATTTTTGGCCAAGTGCAGACTCATATATGTGAGCACTCAACTAACTGAGCAGGGGTTGACACTGTCTTACAAAAATGAAAGAGTCCTAAATGTCCTTTCCACAGTGGAAAGGCCAGTGAGTTCCCCTTGCCCCCATTTAGAACTAGATTCCTCCCGAGAAGATGACTGGCCACTGTTCTCATGGTAGGGGGAGCCCCTGATGGGCACTTTAGTATGCATTACCCTTGACACCCTGGAAAGGAAGAGAGGTATATACCATCATCATTGACTAATCTGTGAAGTATAGCAGCCAACTGCATGGTTTCAACCTAACGGTCCTCTACAGATGTGTACATCTGTATCCCTGGCACTTGTGAGTATGTTACCTTACATGGCAAAAGAAATTCACAAATGAGACTGAGGTAATTTCTTGAGATGAAGAGATTATTTTAGTTAATCTAGGCAGACCCAATGTAATCACAAGAGTGAGAGGGAGACTTAAAGATATTATACTACTGGATTTGGTGATGGAGGAAGGGGTTATGAGCCCAAGAACTGAGGTGGCCTCTATGGAAGAGACAGAAGATAGATTCTCCCCTGTAGACTTCTGAAGGAGCACAACCCTGCTAACACCTTGGTTTTATCCAAGTGAAACTGATTTTGGACTTCAGACCTCCAGAACTGTGATATAATAAATCCAGGTTGAGCCACTAATTTTGTGGTAATTAATGTCATAGCAGCAATGGGAAACTAATTGAGCCTCTTTCCGGGGATGCTTCCTGTCCCCTTCTCCACTGTGGAGAGCCCACAGAGGCCTGAAGAATGCACAGGTAATGAATAGCAGAGGCGGGATTTGAACCCTAATCTGCCTGATTGCAAACCTATTCTCTTTCCGCTCAGCAACCCACAGTGTTGGGAGAACACAGATCATTTATTCCTCTAATTCATTCACTTAATAAACATGTATTCAACATCTACTCAGTTAAGTGTGGACATTGTAAAATCTGAAGGACTGTGGCCCATCGATGTCATTTAACTTGATGTCAATGAGATGGCCAAGAGTAAACCTTGAGTTTCTATAAAGTCTGTGGTCCTAATGGCAGTAAGACTTCTGTCTGATTTGCATCAAAGGCTAGGATAGAGAATTTACAGACAGCATATGAGGAACACCAGCCTCAGCTGTGATTTTGAAGGAACTCTAATTTGGCATTGGAAAATAATTCAGTCCAGAGCAGGATATGCTGTCATTGGTACTGTCCAAATGCCTCCACTGCTCTGTAAATCATTGAAGGCACTGCTTTCCTCTGACTGTAGCATGACCAGATGGCTCGAGATGGTAATGCCCCTAATCAGATCTTCAGAAATGAGTTGAAAATTGACTCACAGTCCCTTAAAGGGGAAGTAACAAAATAAACTGTGAGTGGGACTTCTGTCAGAAACTTTAAGGGCTTTGTTGTCAATCCCACTTAATATGCCTCTCCAGTCAAGCTCCTGTCTGAATTGGGGTGTGCTCAGTTTCTGGAGGGTGGCATCACTGTTAATACAAGTGATGACTCTTGGCATCTACACTTGACATTGGATGCTGTCTGGTTCCTGGGTCCTTTTCCCTTTCATCACATCATCTGAACAGTGACTACTCTAGGCAGTGAGCACCACCCCCACTTGCCATACGTGCTGATAGTTAGAGAAGTCAGAACAGTGTGAATGCCAGGGCCAGATGTGCTCCAGGCTTCCTGGCCCTGCATTTGATGCTTGTGCTGCTCCACCACCTGTTCCCTTAGCATCAGGTGAGAAGAGACAGGTCCCCCTTACATACCTCCTCAGAAAACGACTCTGGGAAGTTAAGACAAGATCCACTTCCTCCTTACCCTCCCTCCAGCCACACTGAACTGCTCAGCCTTCTCACAACATACTAAGCTTTGTGAACCTTGGTGCCTTTTCATGTCCTGTTTCTTTTTTCTAGAACAGTCTTCTCTTCTAATCTAAAGGTCACCTCCTCTGAGAAGCCATACTGTATTCTTTGTCTAGGTAACCTTTCATGAAAGCTATAAGAGAATCCTTATTTTTCATTTTTGTATGGGTTGGTCCTCTGAGCAACATTTCATGGCCCAAGCTAAAGTATTATCTACTGAAATCATGGTTGTATGGTAGGAAGAACCTGAATTCAACCCTCAGTTTTGTCATTTAATAGCTGACAGAGAGTGGCCAGCTTATTTCTGTAAAAATAGAAATGACACAGTGTACCTCATGCCACCATGAGAGGAGTAAGCGAGAAACAAAGAGATTAGCATAATAGCCTGACATATGGTCCATTAATGGTAGAATGGGTAGGGTGAGAGAGAGAGAGAGAGAGAGAGAGAGAGATTTCTTTTTATTCATAGTACTGAGCACAACCTTGGACTCAAAACAGGGGCTGAATAAATGTTGATTGAATTATTTCTGGCCAAATATTTAATGTAAAAAATGGACCACTTCCATGCATACATTACGTTTCTTAAGATGATGCAGTGAGAATGGCACTTCACCTCTATGAAGTGCCATTTGCTCGACCAGAACCCCACTTTAATGATGATAAAACATCATACAGGTCAAAGTTAAAGGGAAATTCTATAAAATATCTGATCAGTACTCCTCAGATCTTCCAAGGTAATGAAAACCAAAGAAAGATAGAGAAACTGTCACAGACCAGAGGCAAAGGAGCCAT